AAAAAAAAAAAAACCTATTGCAGATGTGATGAGTGTTAGGCAATAGAACTACATGGCCACTGCTTGACTGGGAATGGAACGCTAGTGTATCCTATGTTGCCCATGTTTTTTAATTTGTTGTGTAGAAAGATGACATTTGCTAACTAACAGAATATTCACTGTAGGCAAGGTCTTTTCTAATGCAGCTTTTTGGCTTTTAGGATCATTTTTATTCCAAATAGAGTCTATTTTCCATACCTGTTTCTTCAGGTAGGTACAACTTGCTTGCCACTTCCACCTCAATACTGTCCCAAAAACTGTTTAGTTGCCCATCTTCATACCCCCCTTACTAAAAAATCCAATGATCACCTCAGACTGTTGATATTTACACATTTTTACCTGACAAGTTTAGTCACCCTGATTCTTCACCATAACTAAGCATCTCATTTTTACCAGTTTGATGTGTGGATGCTTTACTCTTTGCTTTCTTCCTTATGCCTTTGCTTATCTTTCCTGCCATGCTTGTATGGGTAGAACAGCATCCCTACATCTTTTCCCTCAGATTAAACTCTGCTTTTTTTTTTTTTTCTTTTAACCTTGTTTGAAACTAGCCCACATGCTACATACCAGACTACAAGGCTGTGAGGCCAGCTTCAGCATTTCTTTTCCTCCTTTACAACCAACAAGACCAGTGTTCAGATCTGATGGGAAAGAGAGCTGGAGGGTAAATGCTGCTTTTATAAAAAAAGAAAAAAAAACTTTTAAAAAACCCTTTCAGAAGCTCATTCCTGATGCAAAAGGTTGTTAGGGGGCCTTCCTGAAATACTATCTGAAAATATCTGCATACCTATATATAAGAATTATACTAGATTTTTTTTCTTTGTAATAGATTTTGTTATACCAACAACTGATTTTTAAAATTTATTCAAAAGGCCATTCATTAGCCTAGCCCTGAAAATTCAAACATATTTTAAAATTGAAATGTACATGTGTAAGTGGCCTCTTTCTATCATGAGAAATTGGGTTTTGTTGCAGTGTTTTCTCTTAAAAACAGAGAGAATAAAGGGCTGGCCAAATAGCTCAGCAAGCAGATGCAGGAGCCAATGGTTCAATCCGCGCCTGCCATGCCATGCTGGGCATGCTGACAAGGCAATTGAGACTGGGCTTGGTGGTGCGCACCTGTAATCTCAGCACTTGGAAGGCTGTAAACAGGGGAATCACTATGAGTCCAGTGTAGTAGTGAGATCCTGCATACCCTGTAGACCCTTTCGTAAAATACAGAAATAAATAAATAGAGTGAATAAATCCTGTTTTTCAACTTAGAAGATGATATGGAAACTAGTTAGGCAGGTGTATGTTTTATGTAAGTTTCTAGCATAGTGAACTGCCTTTGCATGCACACATCTAGTTCATAGTATTCCTTACAACAAATGACCCACTGGGAACTCCATGGCTGTACAATGTACTGAGCACCCGGTGTGGACCAACTAGCAAACAGAGAATCAGGTTAGGAAGATAGTCTCTGTCCTTTGTCCTGATGAAAGATACCTGTGGATAAGACCTATCCCAAACTGTTCTGCTGGTTGCTTCTCTCAGAAAATGAAAACAACAAATGGCAAGTTGGCCTTTTCCCTTACAAAAGCACTTTCTGTACATCATTCTCCACCTTGTGGCTTCTGCCACGTCCTATCCTCTGACTCCTTTTCACCCAGCAAATAGCCTCTTTCTTAGAAATACTTTAGAGCTTAGTGTGGCCAAATCCCACATTTCACAAGGCCTGCAATGAATTGTAAAAAGCTTTGCTTACTTTAACAGATTACAGGGTTATTTTACAATCAGGTCATGAACACTGGACACAATAATCTGGTTCTTTGCTGCTGCAGTGGCATCAGAGTGCTGATAGCACACTTTCTGTTTTTAGGGGGAAATGAATTATCTCTGGTTGACTGACTAAACTCTTCAGTCTCACAAATAAGAAAAATACAAAAGGCAAGCATTTGTTTACTGTAATAAACCAATAGACTTTGCAATAAATTCTGTGATAACTGCTGTCTTTTCTACATTCAACCCACACACACACATACACACAGGAAAATTTTAATTTATAGCCAAAAATTGTAAGTTATATTTATTTGTGTCTATGTAATGATCTTTAATCAAGCAAAGTAATAGGAGATAAAATGGAATGGAATTTGACAAAAGGCAATGCAAGAAGCGAGCTGAGAAGGGAATTTCATAAAATCCACTTCTAGCTTTGTCAGCTGCTTCCTTCATTACTATAGGCTTTCATTTAATCTTTTGAAACATTCTATTCAATTTTTTTCTTCAGTTTCTTGGAAACATAAAAACAATGCTAATGATGGAAGCCAGAGGCCAATCTGAAGTTAGTTAAGTACCTTGTAACCACAGCCCTTTAGCCACCCCTCTCACTGAGCTGTGCTTGGGTGGTATATAGGCTATACTTGGCACCCTGACTTAGAGTCTATGGTTGATATGTCACATCCACATATGATACTCTGGGTAAGAGTGTCCTAGCTTTCCAGTGCCCAGTAGACAAAGGTAACTCCACTATATGCTGAACTGAAAGAGCCCATACCTCTTTCCCTAGAAACTTATGACCACTCAACTATGGCAATATGGTACAGTGCAGGTGTTCTGTAAGGGGCTGGATGGTAAATGCTTTTAGCTTTGTAGGCCAGATAGTTAACTGTTGTAACTCCAGATGGTTCCCAACTTCAGAGTTTTGACTTACCAGTTTTCAACTTTACAAAAGTGGGAAATTGATGCACATTTATTAGAAAATACACTTTGAATTTTGATCTTTTCCCAGGAAACAATATTCAGTTTAGTCTTCTCTCATGACAATGGGCAATGGCACTGAGCCCCAGCTCCCAGAGAAGCAACTGATACTCTATAGTGTGGTGCATTATTAAACTCTGCTGGTCTATAAGTTATATACATTAAATAAATTTCCAACTTAGCAATATTTTCAACTTACAATTTTATCAGGATGTAAGCACATCATAAATTAAGGAATGTCTATGCTCAACACTGCCTTTGTAGCATAAAAGTAGTGTAGATAATACAAAAATGAACCCATGTGGCTTTGGTTCATTACGCTTTACCTAAAGATTTGTCCTACAGATGTTGTTTGTTGACCCCTGGAATAGTGACAAGAATGCTAGATTTTGAGCTGAGATCTTTCTTTGGCCCTGAGACCTATCAGCATAAATTGATCTCAAGTCATTCTCATCATTTTTATATTTATTTGCAAAGTATGTGATAATAACACTTCTCATGCCTCTCTTAGACTGTTGAATGTGATAATGTAGATGAGTCAGATTTATTCATTATGACGTAGTCTAGACATAGAGTTTTTTTCCCCTAAGTAGTATTAGAAGCAGTAAGGTTAACTTTTCTAGAGAAGTAGAAGATGAGGATTCACTTCTTAATTCCTCACAGTATACACAAGTGCCTTAAAACTTACGGATTTGGAGGCAGAACAACAAGCCGTATAGAACAACATGCTGGAAGGTAGACTACAACTGCGTGTGTCCACATGAATGTGATTCTCATTTAAAAGCCTAGCAATGTAATGCCTAGCAAAGGAAGAAATAAAAAAGGGAGGAAGACCACAGAGGAGGATGTTCAAGGGTCTGTGATATTGTCTTACATAAATTTTCACAGTTGGTGGAATAATGCATATTATACCCAGTCTCCCTTTCATTGACATGTTCTCACTGAAGATTTTAAATTTGCCAAGAATTTGATTCAAAACTTTCTAGTTTCTTTATAATTAATGCTAGTGAAGCTGACATGAAAACATGTCTCTTAAGGGACAATTAGCATATGGAATATAATTAATAATATCCTATGGAAGATGGACAATTATCGTATGGAAGAAATTTGGGTTTGGGTAGAGCAATTTATTTTGTAAACACCATCCCTCTACTTGGTCTGGTAACTATCTCTAAAAGGATGCTCATTTTTTCTTAATGCTTTACTCCTTCACAATTCTTCCTTATTACTTGAAATATACTTTATACTTCTCTTCAGCTGTCATATCTTAACTATAAATGTATCTTACCTCTTCTCTCAGACCTGAAATGTTCTCATTCTCTGTATTCTAATAATGCTGGCACTATGGTCTATCATTTATGTTATGGTGTATTCATTTTATTCTTTCTTTCTTTTTTTTTTTTTTTTTTTCGTATTTTAGGGAAGGGTCTACAGGGTGTTCAGGGTTTCACTACTAGATCGGACGTGTAGTGATTCTCCTGTTTTTAGCCTCCCAAGAGCTGGGATTACAGGCACGCACCACCATGCCCATTTTCAATTGCAGTGTCAGTGCGGCCTGGGGGAGCAGGGGTAGCCCCAGCAGGGCAGCCCCAAGGGTCAAACCCCTGGCCCCTGTGCCTGCTTTCAGGTGCTTTAATCTTCTGAGCTGTTTGGCAGGCCCTTTTAGTATTTCTTATCTTTTCACTCTTCGCAATGAGATTGTGCATTTTCTGAACAATTGGACTATTCCTAATTCAATTCTACCTCTATCTCAAAGCCTTTCATTTTAGTAGGCTTTTAATACTTCCTTATTGAATAAAAATTTGTCTAATAAAAATCAAAGATATTTTCTGAAATCAAGAATACCAGGTTACATACCTCGGTAATGTCCCAAATTTTCTGATCAAGAAGATTATGAGGCCAAAGAGGAAAGTGAACGATGACATATAGTGTGCCTAAGGAGAGTCACATGGGGAGAAGACACTCTCTCAGGCTTTCACAGAGAGCACATTGGCCAAGCAATGGCCGTG